CTTTAAATCATCGTTTTAATTGAAGACTTACGTTTGATTTGTTTTTAATTGACTCATTGTGATGTTGTAATTAAAAAAAAAAGACTTGATTTCATTTTTAATAGTAAAATAATAAAAAAAATAGTTGTGTTACAGACAGTGTGAGGAAATATCCTTTTAAAATTTTAAAATAACCTTCAATTAATAAGTTCTAATTAAGAACAATTCATAAATATTCAGTTTCTATATGAATAACAAGAAAATTACGAAAAATTCTTGTTCTATATTTATAAAAATTGTTAATAATAAATCACGAAAAAAGTGATTACGAAATATTTAGCATTTTTAGATATAAACCATAAAATTCAAAAAATTTCCAAACTTTAGGATCAAATTTAATATTATAACTAGAAAAGTAAAAATATTACACGAAAATGTTTTAGATGAAAATTCTTTATAAAGAATCAGTAAAACGCAATCCGGAAGTGATTATAACCCACCATGATTGTTACCAACTTAAGCGGGTTTAAATTCGTAAACGTTTCCTATTTGAGACCTTTACCTATAAAATGATGTATATCTCAGAAATTAAAAATGTTGGACGATTATGATATTAATGAAATTTGGTCATGATTAATCATAAAAATATAATCCATAAATGATTACTTTCTAATTATTTCGCATTTTTAGATATAAACCATGAAATCCAAACATCTCTAAATTGACGTTTTAGGGTAAAATTTAATACTATAACTCAAAAAGTAAAGATATTAGGAGAAAATGTTGTAGATGAAAATTGTTTATAATGACTCAGCGAAACGCAATCCGGGAGTGATTATTATAACCCAACGTGATTGTTACCAACCCAAACGGGTTTAAATTCTTAAAGATTTCAAATTTGACGCATTTACCTACAAAATGATTTATAACTCAGAAATTAAATATGTTGGACGAGAATGATATTAATGAAAATTGGTCGTGATTAATCATAAAAACATAATCCATAAATGATTACTAATCGTTTCACATTTTGAGATATAAATCATAAAATCCAAGTCTCTAAATTGACGTTTTATGATCAAATTTAATATTATAACTCGAAAAGTATAAATATATGGAGAAAATGTTGTAAATGACAATTGTTTATAATGAATCAGCAAAACCAAGCAAAACGTAATCCGGAAGTGATTATAACCCAACATGATTATTACCAACCTAAGTGAATTTAAATTCCCAAACATTTCAAATTTGACGCATTTACCTACAAAATGATTTATAACTCAGAAATTAAATATATTGGGCGTGTATGATATTAATGAAAATTGGTCATGATTAATCATAAAAACATAATCCATAAATGATTCCTTACTAATTATTATGTGTTTTTAGATATAAACCATAAAATCCGAAAATCTCTAAATTGATGTTTTAGGGTAAAATTTAATATTATAACTCATAAATCATAAAGTAAAAATATTAGGAGAAAATGTTGTAGATGAAAGTTGTTTATAACGAATCAGCAAAACGCAATCCGGAAGTGATTGTAACCCAACATGATTGTTACCAACCCAAGCGGCTTTAAAGTCTTAAACATTTCAAATTTGACGCATTTACCTACAAAATGATTTATAACTCAGAAATTAATTATGTTGGGCGAGTATGATATTAATAAAAATTGGTCATGATTAATTATAAAAACATAATCCATAAATGATTCCTTACTAATTATTATGTGTTTTTAGATATAAACCATAAAATCCGAAAATCTCTAAATTGATGTTTTAGGGTAAAATTTAATATTATAACTCATAAATCATAAAGTAAAAATATTAGGAGAAACTGTTGTAGATGAAAGTTGTTTATAACGAATCAGCAAAACGCAATCCGGAAGTGATTGTAACCCAACATGATTGTTACCAACCCAAGTGGCTTTAAAGTCTTAAACATTTCAAATTTGACGCATTTACCTACAAACTGATTTATAACTCAGAAATTAATTATGTTGGGCGAGTATGATATTAATAAAAATTGGTCATGATGAATCATAAAAACATAATCCATAAATGATTACTTACTGATTATTTCGCGTTTTTAGATATAAACCATAAAATCCAAAAGTCTCTAAATATACGTTTTATAATCAAATTTAATATTATAACTCGAAAAGTATAAATATATGAAGAAAATGTTGTAAATGACAATTCTTTGTAATGAATCAGCAAAATGTAATCTGGAAATGATTATAACCCAACATGATTATTACCAACCTAAATGGATTTAAATTCCCAAACATTTCAAATTTGACGCATTTACCTACAAAATGATTTATAACTCAGAAATTAATTATGTTGGGCGAGAATGATATTAATAAAAATTGATCATGATGAATGATAAAAACATAATCCATAAATGATTACTTACTGATTATTTCGCGTTTTTAGATATAAACCATAAAATCCAAAAATCTCGAAATGAACGTTTTAGGATCAAATTATATTATACATAACTTAAAAAGTAATAATATAAGGAGAAACTGTTGTAGATCAAAATTATTTATAATGAATCAGCAAAACGCAATCCGGAAGTAATTATAACGCAACATGATTATTACCAACCTAAGCGAATTTAAATGCTTAAACATTTCAAATTTGACGCATTTACCTACTATATAATAATTTATAACTCAGAAAGTAAAAATGTTGCGCGAGTATGATATTAATGAAAATTGGTCATGATTAATCATAAAATCATAATCCATAAATGATTACGTATCAATTATTTGGCATTTTTAGATATAAATCTTAAAATCCAAAATTTTCTAAATTGACGTTTTAGGTTCAAATTTAATATTATAACTCGAAAAGTAAAAATATTAGGAGAAAATGTTATAGAGGAAAATTGTTTATAATGAATCAGCAGAACGCAACCCGGAAGTTATTATAACCCAAAATGATTATTACCAACCCAAGCAGGTTTAAATTCTTAAACATTTCAAATTTGACGCATTTACCCACAAAATGATGTATAACTCGGAAATTAAATATGTTGGGCGGGAATTATATTAATGAAAATTGATTATTATTAATCATAAAACCATAATCCATAAATGATTACTTTCTGATTAATTTACATTTTTAGTTATATGCCATAAAAAGTACAAATCTCTAAATTGTTATTATTATAATTTATTAAATATAAATGTTAGGAAACAATGTTATGGATAAACATTGTTTAACTATAAATTAATAAGTAAAAACTGTAAAAGAGACGGACATAAAGATATTATCTGTTGTCACTCTTCGATGTATTTTATATAGGAGTTTTATAAGGTGTTTTTTTTTGTATAAACTTGCATGTTGTATAGATACGACGTCTTTACATGTGCGGGAGCTCAAATCTTTATTCTATATCGAGCTGACTGATTTTATAAATCGTCAAAATGGGCATCTCCCCACAATGCATCTAGCTCCTCCATTGTTAATATTTCATTGTACAAAAATTGAACTGCTCTTTTTGCTATATTTAGTTGCAGGAAGTTCGAAAGGTTTAAATAGAACACTATTTTTAATTAACTTATCAGATTAGAAAATTTTGCTGCAAACTATTAATAGACCAAAGAATAATATAATAAGCATAACGTCAACAGTTTTGCGAATATACCTATCTCTTGCTTTACATCGCACTGTATTTATACGGTTTTGATAATAGAGAGCCAAAATAGAGCTGTTGTTTGATTAAGTGTGATGAAGTTTTAAAGCAGAAAGGTTTAGATCGTTAACAAGAATAGTCAATGTTGCTAAATTTGTACCAAAAATAACAATAAGAAAAATTAAAGGCGCCATTAAAAAGAATGCAATTAGATGTTTTACGAGTATGAACTCAATTCCATATATCAGAGATGTTGCAATACAAATATGGAAAAGCGGAATTCAATTGATCAATGCAGTAAGGTTTTAAAGCTTTATGAAAAGTTTAGACTATTTTTCTATAAGTTACGGTTGGTTTCAAAAGATTCAAACAAAAATATTCTTTTCAAAAAATTCTCTCGCATACACAAAGTATATAAAGTATTGTATATGTGTATTCTCATGATTATATCTCAATTCATATTTAATTGCATTTTTATCAACTCAACCTCAAGAACCACAGAGATAAATTAAAAAATCACACCACAGGGTTTTATAGCACGAACGAATTGTTCTTGGTATGTGGAGATTAGATTAAATTTACTACAAAATGGTTTTTAAATAGTCTTGATGGCCCAATTAGTATTTGACACATATTTTTTTTTCAAATTTAGTATTGATAAATTTTATTAATTAATTAATTTTACATTTTTTTTACTTATTGTAACTACATTCACTCACTATAATGTGGTATCATCTATTTAAATCTGGCTTTAATTAAGCTAGCTAACCGATTGAAACGAAAACGTATCCTAAAGGCAAAACTTCATGCGTAACGATCGATACAACAACACAGTTACAAAAAAGAAACCTGATTTGTTATCGACAATAACTATAAAGTCCAATCAAATACTCAATCAGAAAATTTAACTTTCTAAAACACGTGCAACAACCAAACATTATAACAACAATTAAGAATTAAACGAATTTTGTTATCTTTACCTATCGGCGACCATAAACAATTCAACAAAGAACTTTTTTTTAATTGTTCAATTGCATCTTGTTGCATCCTGTTATATCCTGCCCAGTCGCGTATCAGTAACCACACCGGTCATTAAACTCGATGACTCGCCCTGCATAATTGGACGTTAAAAGCAATGTTGTTGTTGTCCATTAGCTGAACCCGACCATTTTCTATGTTACTCAGTCGTACTTTTCATACTTACACGGTTAGCAGACGGATTAAGGACAATGCAAGACCTTGAAACCGCGTCTGGGAGTATTTTTTTCTTTCCATTCTATTATAATCAACCTGGTATTGCAAAAATTATAATTATAAGCAGGTTCATGTACAATTTCTTTTTATATTAAAAAAAAAAATTTTTGTTGTTTCAGTTAAAAGCGGAAGTGGAAATGTACCTACAACAAAAATCTCAAATAGAAAAGGAGCGAGACGAAGCCCTAAGACTGGTAAGTGTTTTATCCGTGCTTGTAATCTGATACTTCGATCTGTTGCCGGCTTCTATTCCAACAAATACAAAAAAAAATTAAATCGACCGCACACAAACGTCATTGAACCTCAACTACTTCTTCTCTCACTTTTTCGCGGTGTGTATGTTACAGCTGAAAGAACAAGCCAGAGAATCGGAGTTCACCAGGCGGAAACTGGAAAGGGCCCGGCAGGAAGTCTTTCAGCACATGACGAAGATCAAATCCGAAAAGGAACACTTGGAAAGAGAGGTAAGTTATGCGTTACGTTTAATCAAGGTTTTTTTTAAAATTATTATTCAAGGGTTTTAACGATGAGGTCAATGTTACTACTTACAATATTAATCATTCAAATCAATTTAGTAACGTCGTCACGTTTTGGAAAAGTTGTTTTACGTGACGATGTAGTCATTTTTACGTGGTGAGAATTAGGTGAACAGATTTAAATGATGATTTCACATTGTGAAATCAAATTACAATAAAACCTCAATATAACGGACCACTAATATTATCTATTTAATACATCAATAGATTTAAATATAAATGTTGGCGATCGTAGATAGAATCCAACTCGGGTTATTCCCCAAGTTGCTCTATTTCATGTTTATAGATAATCTCAGAGTATTCCCGAGTTGTCTATACTATAGTTCTAGTTAGATTGTTGTATATTTTTCATTGAACTAAAACTATAACTAATACTATATCTAGAACTAGAAACATTCGGGTTTAGCCGTACGTCTCTTAAGATGGCTAAACCTGAATGTTTCTAGTCTGAAGACGCACGGCTAAACCCGAAACTTTGTAGTTCTAGGTATAGTGTTAGTTCTAGTTTTAATTGTTATTCAGAGTTAGATTGTTGTATATTTTTATAGAATTAAAAGCTTGATCTACGTGAAATGGAAAAAAATATATTTCGAGTTGCAGAATAAATAAGAAATGAAAAAATTGATGGCAAAAAATTTTTCAAATTTTAATAGAGGAAGAAAACCGGGAAAGGAAACTGAATGAATTTGAGTTAATTTGTGAAGATTCTTTAGACTAGATTGCAATCTGAAACAATCAAGAGGTGAGGAAATGCGGGAAACAAGAATTTTTTTAATCATAGACATAAATTAAACGCTCGACATGATTAATGGCATAGTTCATCTCTTTCCATTTCTCATAGTTTTTGAAACTTTTTGCACAATAATGCTTTTCATCAATAAGAATTTTTGCACATCTGGTATATAGATGCAACCCTTCTCCTTGACAAATCTTTTTTCACTTTACTCAATGAAATCTTTTTGGCTGATGTGTGATGTTTATTGATTAAACATTATTCAGAGACGTCCTCAATGGAAGTGCCAATTCCAGAAAAGCAATCTACTTGTTTAGGTTGTCTTTAGCGAGTAGCTTATCTTTAAAGAGTAGAAACAGGAATTTTCCAGATAACATTACTCATCGCATCTAGAACACTTTATCACTGCAAAATTATTCCGTTTTGACACTCTCATTATACTTAAAAGTTATACTTATCGATTTGTAACTTTGTGAACATGTTGCAAACGGATTTAAGGGTGACTACAGGAATATTTTCTACAGATAGGTGACACATCTAAGGACAACTGCAACAAGCGTATCTTAAATTTAGAACATCGCATCTAAGGATTCTATAAATCGTAGTAAATGGATTGCTGCAGTACTAAATCGAGAATCTTTCTGTCAACGTTATCAACGATGTTATGACTCTGGATCGTGTTGAGATTCACAAAACACTAGAATCAGAAATATTCGTCTTTTAAGACTGCTAAACCAGAATGTTTCTAGTTCTAAAACTATACAGGGTGATTCTTAACCTATACGCATAAACTTGGGGATTTATTCTTCATGATAAATAATGAGTAATAGGTGAAAAAAGTTGTAGCAAAAGCTTTTTAGTTTCCTAGATATCCGTGAAATTTGCTTTCAAATCAAGAATACACATAAGATTTTAAAATGACATCAAAGTAAGTGTTCCAAGTTGTTTCCAATATTTTCTATACACAATTGGGCTCGCTGAATCGATGATGTTCCACTAGCGCGGGCTAAATTGTTGGCGGATTGTCTCGGCAGCTGTTTGTATCTGATCCTTGCTCAGCATTCACTTCCTCAGCTGCAATGTTAAATGCCTGTGTTAACCACTATATGCCATCCTCAGTATCAGCCAAGAGAACGACATTATCTACATAGCACTCAACCTTGATTTTGTAATCATTCAGTGTAATCATAGTTTAGATTACATACTTTGTAATGTTTGCCCTGTTCTACTTCTTTTATCCTTACTTTGTCGAACATTTTGGTTAGATCAACGAAACAGGGGAAGCCTGCCTGACGTTTTTTCCCCGGAGTTCTACCTGAATCTTTTTGATGCTCTCAACATTTTCCTCAATATTGTGTGATCCGTACATCTCATTCTTCAGCTCGTTATTAAATTTCGCCATGCATCATTTGTGCAAGCAACTCTTGCAATCAGATAGACATGAGCAAACGACACACTGATATGTATGTAAACAGTTTTTTGCAGAAGATGAAATAAGTATGGTGATATCAGTTCTAAACAGATGAGATAGTTTGGTGTTACTGTGTAAGATGATTTCTGGATGCAAAGACTGTACTCTTTGGAGATGATATGATAGCGCTGCCTAAACCTCAGTATCTGAATGTATCTGATTTCGCAACCCTTGCTCAGTATTAACTTCGGTGAGATCTTCTGATAACTTTTGGATCGAGATGGCCAGACCAGTGGACTACCTCGATCTGTCCATCTTCCAGGCAGCACCTTATCTAGATGTCGACGTATATATCGGACACCTATGAAACTAAAAATCTTTTACTACAATTTTTTTCATCTATTACCCATTATTTGTTTCGAGGAATAAATCCCCAAGTTTATGCGTATCATTAAGTTTATAGAAGCACCCTGTATTTTAAGTACTAGAACCTGTGGCTTCCTCGGCTTCTAAGTTATGCATTTGTATTAAAGAAAAGTTTACTTTATTTTAAGAACTAGAACTACTGCCTTGGTTTCTAAATAATATGGTATTATTGAAAACCTTGAAGTACTAACTCGGCTTCTAAGTAATATATTTGTATTAAAGAAAACTTTGCTTTATTTTAAGTACCAGGATCACTGCATCGGCATCTAAGTAATGCATTTGTATTAAAGAAAAGTTTACTTTATTTTCAGAATTAGAACTACTGACAACTTACAACTAACAACTTTTTTCTAAGTCTGAAGACGCACCGCTAAACCCGAAACTTTGTAGGTCTAGTATTAGTTCTAGTTTTACTGTGCACCTCTCCCAGGATGTAGCAGTCTTCTTAGATTCTCGCCTTTAGTATAAAATAAAGCCACGTAGATTGAACTCAGCGATGTGGAGCTGTCCGAATTTGTGTGCATTAATTATTCATATAACGGACTTTTAGCTATAACAGACACTCCCTACCCCGTGTTAATCCGTTATATCGAGATTTTACTGTATTTATTTTAAGTCTTTTTAAATTTATTTGGGAAAATTTGAATTTAATGTTGGAAACTTTTTAGCATCTGATTAAATCCTTTTGATTGATTAAATATTAGAGTTAACTTAATGGATAGTTTAAAAACTTTTCCTTTAAGTGGTGAAAATGCTTGAAAAACGAGATCAAAGCAGGCTCATTTATTCTAATTTAATCTAATTATCGATTTAAATCGATCGGTACATAAAAAAAAATAATCCGCTTTCGAGTCTTATTTATTTTTTTTGTACCCATATGTTTAATGTTTACACACACTTAATTCTGCACCGGTTTTTTTTTTTTAATTTTAATTCACGACGTGATAACTTATACTTTGTTGAAATTGCGTACCGTAACGTTATAATTACGTAATAATGCGAAAAAAAAAGTAAAAACATGGTCCAGGGTCGCAATACTTTTTTGCATTGTAAAAAAAATCACACGCGGATTGAAATCGTATGGAATCATCACTATTTATAAACTTGAAAAGAACAGGCGAAGCGAAAATTGGTTTAATCCTAAACAAAATGGTTGTAACTGATTTACTTAGTACAAACAATGGGTGCTATTTTCTAGCTCGAAATTAATTTGAAAATTCCAATCTCGATGGCTATTTTCGCGCGTTACAAAACCCGATCGGTATTCGACCCCATTTTAACATTATTTAGGCGATCAATTTGCACATCACCAAACTTTCCAAACTAAAAAAAACAACGGTAAGTGATTTTTTAGTACTTAACGGGACTTTTAGTGTTCATAATAAACATAAAAAATGTCTTTATCATAACCTACATAGTTTGTACAATCATCATTTTTTAGTTACAAACGAAAAATTGCAAAAATAAAAAAATTAAATCCATAAAATTTGAAATATCCGGATTAAGCTTCAATTGGGTTCAAAAAAGCTTCTAATGAATCTAATTTATGGCAAATCAAGGAAAACCATAATCATTTGCATTAAACGGTTGTACTCTTTTGCTTTAATCATAGTATAAATTTTTATTCTTCTGTTTATCCATCATTTTTTTCTCTTTGTTACTTCTTCATTTATTAGTCTAATTGAGCAGGAGAAATCCTAGTTGTGGCAAAGGAATAATTCTGCATTCAGTAAAATTCATTAAGAAGTCATAGTTTTTGCTCCTTAATCGCGTCTTTAGTTATTCCCACAACTTTTTCTGCTAATCTATTTGATTGACTATAATAACAGCTTAAAGAATCATTCCATGCACTCTCAAACATTTTTTATTATTTATCTAATAATAGTACTTTTGAATTAGCATTCTTATACTACATTATAATTAAAACTGCAAATAATTGTGCCTAACTAATCATTTTGAACATTTTTTTATAGATACTATATAAATATATTTTACTTATCTAATTTCATTCATTATTCTTGCAAACATTGACATAATACGACCTTCACCGTTTAAATTGATAACATTAATCAAATATTGTATGAGGTTTGATAATCATGATAAACATTGAGATATAAATTTTCAATGAAATGAGGTAACTGAATCAAGTACAAAAAATGATTGCGCTATTTTCAATTTTAATATTCCATTATCTATCCTTAGACATTTTACAAATGATCTGAATCTATCAATGCCATATAGAAATGCGAGAAAGTTGACTCTAGGCTACTCCAGTTAATAAAATTTAATGTACCATCATTTATCCTAAACGGTTTGCAGATGTTGGTCTATCAATTCCATTAAATTGTGAAAAAGTTG